TCTAATAGTTTTCTGGTGGAATCTTTAGGGTTCTCTATATAGTATCATGTCATCAGCAAATAATGAGTTTTACTTCTCTCTTTCCAATTTGAATGATTTCTTATTTCTTTTTCTTGTCTAACTATGGTGGCTAGGACTTTGAATACTATGTTGAAAAGAAGTGGTGAAAATGGACATCCTTGTTTTGTTCCTGATCTTAAGGAAAATTCTTTTAGCTTTTCCTCACAGAATATGTTAGCTGTGTGTTTGTCATACACGGCCTTTATTATGTTGAGGTATGTTCCTTCTATTCCAACTTTGCTGAGAGTTTTTCTCATAAATAGATGCTGGATTTTGCAAAATGCTTTTTTCTGCATCTATTGATATGATCATATGATTTTTATCCTTCATTTTGTTAATGTGGTATATCATATTGATTTGCAGATACTGAACCAAACTTGCATCCCAGGAATAAATCCAACTTGATCATGGTGTATGATCTTTTTAATGTAACGCTGAATTCGGTTTGCTAATATGATGTTGAGAGTTTTTACATGTATGTTCATCAGGGACATTGACTTATATAGTTTCCTTTTGTGGGGGGCAATGTCTTTTGTCTGGCTCTGGACTCAGGGTAATGCAGAGGTGTTCAATATGACACACAAAATAGTGAGTTTGTGCAGTGAGTAAAATGAGGTTGGGAGCCTTCCCTGTGCTTGAATTTTTTGGAATATTTTGAGGATAGGTGTTAATCCTTTTTTGACTGTAAATTCGCCCGTGAAGCTCTCTGGTCCAGGACTTTTGTTTTTAGGAGTTTTTTTAATTACTGATTTGATTTCATTAGTCATTATCAGTCTGCTCAGATTTTGTTTCTTCTCAATTCAGTTTTGGAAGATCGTTTCTAGGAATTTAGCCATTTCTTCAGATTGTCCAATCTGTTGGCATGTAAGTGTTCATAGTATTTTTAGTTGTCACAGCTCCTTTCATTTCTGATTTTAGTTATTTGGGTCCTCTTTTTTTTTTTTTCTGGATGAGTTTGGGTAAAAGGTTATATCTATTTTATCTTTTTCAAAGAACCGGCTCTTTGTTTCATTGAACTTTTCTATGGCTTTTAAGACTCTATTTTATTTCCGTTCTGATCTTTATTATTTCCTTCCTTCTATTCACTTTGGGTTCTGTTTTTTTGTTTGTTTTTGTTTTTGTTTCTAGTTCTTTTAGGTGTAAGGTTAGATTATTTGAGATTTTTCTTGTTTCTTGAGGTAGGTAGAAAGGGCAATTTTTAAAAGTTAGCAGATTTAAACTCAATTAAATAATATCATTAAGTGTAAATGGACTGAACATTTCAATTAAAAACCAGATTTTTACACTGGATGAAGAAGCAAGACCTAAAAAAGGTGTGTGTGTGTCATGCTAAATGAGAAACTTAGAATGGGAAATCTGCCAACAGGCATTCTGAAGGTCTGCACCATGACACCAATAATGGTAAAACTGTGAAGAAAAACAAATAAGCTGTACTTTCAAATATTCAGAGGACAGTGATCCCTTTGACTATGTGGAAAATCTTTTCCACTTCAGAATCACCTATCTCCTGCATTCTTCCTTTTAGGCCAGAAGAACTGAAGGTCACCGAGAATTGAAAGCTGGACTCTCAGCATCCAGACTCCAAAGGAGCTATGATTTCTCAGTCTTTCCTGAGTCTCTCTTGGCTTCTTGAATGTAATCTATAGCTCTAAATTATAAGTCATCTTGGGTATTTTATGACAAGTATATTTCCAAAACCTCTTATAAGACTTTAGTTACCTGGGTTTCTTCATTGTGTCTCTTCTTTTGTGTGTGTCATTTCAGACCCCCTTACACTTTCAACATACCAGATGTTTAAAGTATTAATAGTAACAATGTATTGGGTGTTTATTGCCTATGTAAAAGTGAAATGTGTGACACCAATGGAGCAAGGACTAGGAATCAAGGTCAAACTGTTATAAAGCCTCTCACCACACATTAAGTGACATTATTTGAAGGCAGACTCAGATTTTTTCAAAATGTACATTGTAAACCCTATGGCAATGACTATAAAAAGTTTTTAAAAATATATAAGTAATAAATAGAGATAAAAAAATTTTTAACATGCTCAATAAAACTAGAGAAGGTAGAAAAAGAGAAAAAAGAAATGTAGAAGTGAAACTAATAGAAAACAGCTATTGTTTGTATCCAACTATACAAACAATAACTTTAAAGGTAGATGATTTAAGAATAAATTAAGAATTGACAAACTGGATTTAAAAAATTAAAAAGTAAGACCCAACTCTATGAGATTATATTAGTCAGGGTTCTTCTGAAAAACAGAACAAATAGGATGGATCATCGGCCATTGGCTCACATGATCATGGAAGCCAAGAAGTCCCATAATCTTCTGTCTGCAAGGTGGAGAACCAGGAAAGATGGTGGTGTAATTCAGTCTGAGTCCAAAGGCCTGAGAACTACAGGTGTAAGTTCCAGCTAGGGTCGAAAGGCCCAAGAACCAAGGGATCAATGGTATAAGTGTCAGTCCAAGTCTGAAAGCTAGAGAACCAGCAGCACTGATGTCCAATGGCAGAAGATGGATGTCCCAGCTCAAGCAGAGAAATTATTTGCCCTCATCTCTCTTTTTGTTCTATTCGGGCTCTCAACTGATTGGATGATGTCTACACACATCGGTGTGAGTGATCTTCTTTACTCAGTCTATTGATTCAAAAATTAATCTAGTCTAGAAACATCCTCAGAGACGCACCCAGAAATGTTTTACCAGCTATCTGGGCATCCCTTACTTCACTCATATTGACACACACAATTAACCATTTCAGAGGTCTACAATAAATCTTTTTAAATATTGATAGAACACTTCCAGTTTCAGCTCTAACATGTAAAAAATTTGTAAATCATAACTCATATCCTTAAAGAAAAAAAAATGAGAAAACTGAAAATCAATGGACTTTCTTGGACCTACCAAAGAACTGAGGTTGTATGGCAAATTGTCACCACCAAATCTAGATAGACAAGCAAATCTAGAGTTTTAGCTGAGACATGCCTACCTAAAGCAGAATCTACCAGAGCCATAAACTGGTAGGATACTTAAATGGTAGATTTGATGAACTGCTGGAGGTTGAATGTGGGTTAGCTTGAAAAACTTCTGGACACTGCAGGATTAGAGAGCGTGGCACATATTCATGGGTTTTACCTCCAGAAATGCCACCAAATAGAGTGAAAAGTTGAGAAAGAACCCCTCATGGCACTGGCAAGGGGAGAAATAAAAATCGATGGAAAATGAGCCCAGTGTTTTCCATAACAAAACCTTTGTCTCCAGGGGAAAAAGATGTTAGCTGAGCCTTATCCAGGGTCACGCAGTGTGGGTAGCTTATAGCACCAATGTATGTACCTACCAACTTCGGAGGCTGAGTGATAAAGTTTAGATTGAAATCTGAGATGGTCAAAGTCACCCGGAGAAAATGGAGGATAAAGTCACTGTAAATTGTCTTCTGAGTTTTAATTGTTGTTCCTCAAGCTAAAGTTTCTGTGGTGAAATACACTTGAGAAAGGCTGCGTAACAAATGCCCCTCCCAATGAGTCATGTAACACATTAACATAGTAAAAACTCAGAGAAATCCCTAAGTAAAATTGAAAACTATTACAAATTTATTCTCAACCCTGTCGATGCATCAGAAGCTTCGAAAGAGTTTGATTTTCAGTAATCGTAACACTTGGGTCCCATGCCATACCTGAGGTGATAAGAGAGACCAATCTCAAGACTCGAAAAAAAAAAGGCAAAGAATTGTTAATAAGATAGGTAAAGTAACAGAAAATAAATCTCTCAGTAAAAGATGCATTTGCACTAAGTAGTAAACAGATCAGAATGTGTCACCCCAAGATATGCCGCTTTGACATAAAAATTATTTTGAGCTAAAAGCAATTAACAATAAAACCAGAAAAAGCTCCCCCTTTTTTGCCTAAAAGCAGGCTATAAATTCTCCTTTTATTAGAGTGAGACTCTTAGCCCAGGCATAGCACCAAAAGAATCTGCAAACAAACATTACCCCATTTCCTCATATATATTTATCTTCCCACAGTCAGCCACCCTTGGAAGCCTAAAATTCCTTTTCTTTGTCCTATCATTTCTTCAAAAATTTAGTTTTCTTTATTGAAGATACTGTGTGAACCAGAATTCTTAAGCCACCATTTTGAGTTACTCTTCATTTTAGATTTCTCCTGCATGATGTATGATGCACATGTTAATAACCTGTTTTTCTCTTGTTAATCTTTTCATTGAGTCCCAGATAAAAACCTAAGATGGGTAAAGTTTTAGCTCCCCTACAGTAGTATAAAGCGGGATAAGCTTCCCAAGGACCAGATATTAACAAGGCAGGTACTAGAGGAAGTCCTGATGGGATCTACTAATTTCCTCGGGTTGCCATAAAAAAGTACCACAAACGGAGTGGTTTAAAACAAAAGAATTGTCTCACAGTTCTGGAGGCCACACATCTGAAATCAAGGTTTTGGCAAGCCCATGTTCTCTTGGAAGTTTCTAGGGAGAATTCTTCTTTGCCTTTCCCAGCTTCTAACAGCTCCAGGCATTCCTTCCCTTGTGCATAATTCCAATCTCTCCCAGAGCCATCTTCCCTCTGTATCTTCACACGGCATTTCCACATGTATGTACAAACTTCACTCTTATTATAAGGATACCAATCACATTGGATTAGACCCACCCTGACGACCTCATCTTAATTTCCAAATAAGGTCATATTCACAGGTAGGACTTCAACACATCTTTTCGGAGGACATATTTAACTCATAAGAGCAAGTATCTTGGAGAGTTAAGGAGAACTCAGCAGAAATCACTGAATAACGGAGTTGCACAGGCAGAACAGGAAGAAAAGCCAGTGGGCTGGGATAGGGGTTAGGAAGGGTGCTGGAAGCTTTGAAAGAAGCCTTGTTAAATCACTGCCAGGAAATCTACTGAAAGTCTGGGAAGAAACACATTAAAATGTCAGTAATGGTGGAATCACTGGTGACTTTAATTTTCTTTACATTTTTCATATATTCCAAGTTTTCTACAATAAGTACACAACTTTAAACGAGAGAAACGATCATTATTTAAAAAATAACTATCCAGTAACTTTCACAATCCTCAGAGTGTGTACAATCTAGGGCAGAAAGGTAAAGTGAGAAAAACACACATACCAGATAAAAATACATGAGAAAATAAGAAACAAAGATGATGCTGAACCACAATCTGCATTCAATAAACGCTTACAAGTAAATGTAGAGAAGGAAAGCATGTAGGCTTTCATCTCAGACAGATCTGGATTAATCCCAACACTTCCACTGCCAGCTAAGCAACACTGAGTGAGTTATTCTAAAAGTTTGTTTTCTCATTTGAAAAAATAGGATTTTAATTTCCATCTCACTGAGCTTTTAGAAGAGTCATAGGAGAACATTATGTAAAAAGACCAGCACAGTGTAAATACTTGGTTTTTTAACATTTTCAATATGACATTAATAAATTTGCATATACAATATATGAATTTGAGAAATGGATAGCATAACAAATGCTTGAGGCTGAGACACGGTCAGATGAAGAGAAGTAACAGCATGGGCAAAGTACGGGAACACTGCCTCAATTTTCTGATCCAGAAAACCAAGGGATATCAGTACTTACTGGAAAGAGGAATTACATGACTGAGTAGAAAGGGATTCTATGAATCTGTTGAGTTTCAGAAAAAATGAAATAAGCCAAAACTGTGAGCTATCCATGCTATGTGCCTAGAGTACCAGTTAGGATACTTCGGACTGCAAGTAACCAAAATGCAACTGAAACTGCCTTTTATAATAATGGAGCAATAATCTCAATATAACAAGGTTGAGACTTTGGAAATTCCAAGTTTGACAATGCCAACAAAGATCATGTTTCTTCTTCCTTCTCACTGTTACTGACTCTCCTCAGTTCCAATACAGCTGCTAACATCAGAAGAGGGGATGTGTCTTCTCAAACATTGTTTTAGCAGCTACAGAAACTTTCCCCAGAAAGTTTCCTCACCTTGGAAAATTTCCCATCCTATCTCACTGGCCAGAATTACCTCACATGGGACTGCTCCTCCTGAAGTACATGGTGGGTGCACACCAGAAGAGGAGAGAGGTGGAATAAGTGGCTACTAGAAAGGCAACCAACAGTGTCTGCCATATCTGTCTATGCACAGGACATACAGGGAGCTGAACAAAACATGAATTAAAAATGAATGGATAGAACTGCTGTACTATCAAGGATCAATATCCATGAAGTGAAAGAAGAGGGCCAAGGGATGGATGTCCCCAGACTGAGATACAGGGAGGTATTCTTGGTCAGGGAAAGAACAGCTCATTTCCCACCAGTCACTGGTGGGATGACTAAAGATGCTAATGGGCTCAACCAAAAAAATGGCCGGAGACGTGAGACTAAAGGACAAGAAAAAGTGTGCAGGTGCACTCCATCCACAGCACTGTAGAATGAGATATCCCCAGCCCCATGATCTAGGAAAACTCCCACCCGGTGAAGAGCTGGCTCTTGCCTGATAGAACTTACGGAAGAGCCTGTTAGGGGCCGATAGCCAGCAGAACTCCAACAAATAGCCCAGATGCCCTCATTGGGGCACATTTCTGAACTACTAGCAATCCCCATGATGTCTTCTCGACACACCCCCACCGCAATCTCCAGGCTATCTCGGCTCTCAACTTCCCAGTAATGTTTCCCTGAAGTGAAAACGTTTTTTCCTAAAACACAGGGTAAGTGCTGAAATTTCTCCAAAACATGAGTGTTCTGCTGAGGATTCTTCCATCCAGTAAAGTAGTTCCACGCTGTAGAAAATAACGGCCAAGAACTGGCTGATGCTCCATTTTTCACGTACCTCCCTTCCTGGGAGAAGATAAGTTTGGGATGAGCTGTGTCTATAGCTGGACTGACAACCACTGCAAAGAAAATGAGAGCTAAGATAAATAATGCAACGGCTTACCACCAACCCTCCTCCAGAAATGCCCATCTTTTCCAACTTCAGTTCCATCCTTCACCTCCTAACCAGTACTATCAGAGATGAGACTCCTCACTGCCTCTCTACTGATGCTCACTCAGTGGGCCTAGTGGCTATGTTATGACCTGTAGCAACCTGAAATCCTCATTTCCTTTCTGCTCTAAAAGACTAATACCTAGAAAATGGGGAGCTCATTATTTCATGGCCCTAAGTCACAATCAGCACAAAATTTGGAGAAACATTAACAAATTTTGACTTGCTGAATCAGAACTAGCCCAAGGTTGGTTCTTCGTACAGGTACACGACATCATCATTAACAAGGTTTCTCTTCACTGGTTCCAGGTGTTCTCTGGGCATCTCCACAAGCCCCCAACAGATAACTCAAAATGGAACTCATTATCCTAAGTCCCCTTCCACCATCTTTGTACTGATCCCCCCTCAAACGCAGACATCATTGTCCTCTTTATTCTTTAAGGTATAGAGCATTAACTCTCCCTAAACATTCACACTCTGAAATCTTGAGGTTACTTGACTCTTTTCTCCCTCTGACCTTTGATAACTAATTAGCCACCAAGTTCTATCCACTCTACCCCTGAATTATCAGGTTCTTTTCCTCCTCTCCACTCCCGTTGCCACTGTCTTCACTTGGACCTTCAGAATCTCTCACTTTAACTCTGTCTGTAACATCTTCCTTGGTCTCCCTGCCTCCAAATTCTCTTTCCTCTCAGACTGTCCACGTCTCTCTAGTTTGTCTTGTTTTTCAATCAGGAATGGATATTAGGTTTTGACAATGTTTTTTACGCATCAACTGAGGTGATCATAGTTTTCTTTTTGGTTCGCTAATGTGGTGAATGACGATTACTTTTCAAATGTTAAACCAACCCTGCTTTTCTTGGATAAATCCCATTTGATTGTGATGTATTAACCTTTTAATGTTAGATTCAATATGTTAAAATTCTCTTTAGAACTATTCTATGTTCATGGGGAACATTAATCTACACCAATAGGAAGTTCTTTACTCTTGTAATGTCTTTGACTTTGGTATCATGGTAATGTAGGCCTCATAGAATAAATTAGGAAATATTCTTTCCTCTTCAATTTTTTTGTAAGAATTCATATAGAATAGATACTTATTTCTTAAATATTTGGTGAGTTCACCAGTAAAACCATTTAGGAAGGTTTTTAACTACAACACCAATCTTTAAAAGAAATGAGGTTATTCCGGTTATCTATTTTTTCTTGAGTAAGTTTTGGTCATTTGTATCTTGTAAGGACTTTGTCCATTTCACCTATGCTGTTGAATTTATCAGCATAAAGTTGCTCATAATATTCCCTTATTATCCTACCATCATCTGTAGAATATGTAGTGATGTCGCCTCTCTTTCTTGATGTTAGTAATGAAGAAGGGCCCGGTTGAGACCTCCGCAGTAAAGGCCTTAGAGTCTCCAGCTTCACGTTCCCTTGTCCTATAGTTTAACAATAGACTGCCCCCAGCAGCTTGACTCAGAGGTTGGAACATTCCCTGCCATAAAAAGTTGCCCTGAAACTTATGATTAATGCCATTATGCTTCCTGACCACAATCCTTCTGGTTTAGCATTCTTTCCAGACTATTCTCATCTTTGTTCAGGGTCGCTAAAGCCACCAGAAGACCACGTTGCCAGAGGAACAACTCTGTGAAGCATAATAGATTCCCCCCAGAACCATCTTGTAGTCCCTAGAATAATGTCTTGATTTTCCCTTAAGTACCCTAAGCTGGACCGAGAAGGCAAGGCAGTTTTTAAGGTGTTAATCTGCTGCCTTCTCAGGTCACCAGTACTCTGACGATAAACGCTTATTCTAAATGTCCCAACTCCTGCATCAGTCTATTGGCTGAGTGGCACAGGCAGCACAAGCCCCAGACTCAGTTGCCCTCTGGTCTCAGTAATGTGTGTCTTTTTTTTTCTAGTCATTCTGGTTAAAGGTATATCAACAAAATCAATAATCTGAAAAAAAGGCCTTTTGGTTTCATTATTTTTTCTGTTTTCCTGTATTGTATTGCAGTGATTTCTATGTCCATTATTTTGTTTACTCTGGGCTTTATTTGTTCCTTTTTCCAGTGTCTTAAGGTAGAAACTGATCACTGATGTGAGAACTTTCTTCTTTCTTAATATAGGGTAGTGCTATAAATTTTTCCATAAGTACTGCTTTAGCTGCATCCCACCATTTCTGATGTGTTGTGTTTTCCTTGTCATTCAATTCGAGGTACTTTCTATTTCCCTTTTGATTTCTCCTTTAATTTGTGAATTATTGAGAAGTGTATTATTTAGCTGCCTAACATTTGGGGGATCATCCAAGGATATTTTATTACTAATAGCTAACTTAAATGCATTATGGTCAGAAAACATACTTTGTATAACTTGAATCCTTCTGAATTTAATGAGATTTGTTTTATGGGCTACCTTGGTTTATCTAGTAAAACATTCCACATACATTTAAAAAGAATGTGTATTCTTCTGTTGTTGGGTGTTCTACAGTGAGGTCAAGTTGGCTGCTAGTGTTCTCCAAGCCTACTAATATATCCTTGCTGTTTTCTGCCTACTTATTCTAAAAATTGAAAAAGTACTGAAAACTCCAGCTATAATTGTAGATTTGTCTTTTTCTCCTTGCAGCTCTATTAGTTTTGCTTAATGTATTTTAAAGCTATTGTTAGATATACAAATGTTTAGAACTGTTATGTCCTCCTGATGAATTGACCCCACTTATCAGAAAATGACCTTCTTTATCTCTGGTAATATTTGCTCTGAAATCTACTTTGATATGAAAATAGCCACTCCAGATTTCTTTTGACGAATGTTAGCATGGTATATCTTTTTCCATTGTTTTACTTTTAACATACATGAATCTTTATATTTAATGTGTTTCTTGCCACATATATAGCTGAGACTTGTTTTATCCAATCCAATTAATCTCCATCTTTTGATTAGGATATTCAGACCATTTACGTTTAATATGATTATTAATATAATTTGGTTTGTATCTATCATCGTTACATGTTTTCTATTCTTTTCCTTTTTCTGCCTTCTTTTTGATTAATCAAACATTTTTTATTATTCCACTTTATCTCTTTTGTTGGCTTATTAGCTATAACTGTTTTATTTTAGTGGTTGCTGTGAAGCTTATAGTATACATCTTAAACTAAGTCTACCTTTCAAGTGATGTTACACCATTTCACATATAAGAACTATATAGTATACTTCCATCTCTCCCCTCCCAACATTCATGCTATTGTTCTTGTATATTTTACTTGTAAATGTTACAAACTCCATGGTGTTGTGTATTTAAACATTCATTAGTCAGGGTTCCCAGGAGAAACAGAAAAAAACAGACTATGAATGTATACATAGAGAAAGAGAATATAAGGAATTGGCTCACATGATTATCACTGGTTTTGGTGTAGTTTTCATATTTCTTGGGCTTAAGGTTTATTGGGTTTATCCAATCTGTGTACTTATAGTTTTCAACAAATTGTGAAAATTTTGGCCATTATTTCTTCAAATATTTTTTGTCTCATCCCATCCCACTCCTCTCCTTCAGGGACCCCAATTAGCATATATAAGGCTATATGAAGTTGTCCCACAGCTCACTAAGGCATCATTTTTTGTTTTTGTTTCCTCTGTGCATTTCCTTTTGCAGTTTCCAGTGCTTCATTTTCAACTTCACTAATGTCTAATCACCACCTATTAATTCCAACCAGTATTCTTCATCTCTGTCACTGTAGTTTTCATCTCTAGAAATTTGATCTGGGATTTTTTATATATCTTCCTTATCTCTATATGCCTATTATGGAACAGTTATAAAAATATTATTGTCCTATGCTTATTGTAACATCCTGATCAATCCTGGGTCAGTTTAGATTGATTATTCTCGTTATGGGTCACATTTTCCTATCTTTTTGCATGCCTGGTAATCGCTGATTGGATGCCAGGCATTGTGAATTTACGTGGTTGGGTACATACTTATTTTTTAAAATCCCAATCGATCTTCTTGAGCTTGTGCTGGGATGCAGTTACTTGGAAATAATTTGATCATTTGGGGGTCTTGCTTTCATGATTTGTAAGTTAGGTCCAAAGCAGTGTTCAGCAAAGGGCTAATTACTGCTCACTAATGAGGCAAGATTTACTCTATCCAGTGCCCCATGAATTAAGAGTTTTCCAGTCTGGCTTGTAGGTACAAGCACTGTTCCCAGCCCTGTATGAGCACCACAAACTGTTCCTTCTAATCATTTTAGAAATCTGCTTCCTCAACCTTGGGTAGTTTACAAGCATGTGCTGATTGGTACTCTGCTGAAAACTCAGAGGGTGCCTCTGCAGATCATCAGAGCTCTCTCTATATATACAGTCTTCTCCTTTCCAATACTGTCCAATACTCTGCAAATTGTCACTTTTTTGTTCTCCCTGGACTCTCAATTCCATTCTTCAACCCATGGAGTCTACCTGGCTCCACCTCTGCTAATCCTTCCTGAGATGGCCTGAAAACTCTCTCAAGGATATAGGCCGAAACAATCATAGGGCTCACCTCATCTGTTTCACAATGCTCAGGGATCATTGTCCTTCACTGCCTAATGCCCAGCATTCTGAAAACTTTTCTTTCTAGTATTGTTTTGTTTTGTCTGTTTTGTTTTGTTTTTAACTAACTGAATTTCAGGCAAAGAGTAAATCCAGTCCCTGTTACTTCATTTTAGCTGGAAGAGAACATTCACAACATGGTTCTTAATCAGGGATGTGTATGTGAGAACTGTCTGCATAGCTTTTACAACATGTACGTGCATTGGTACTTCTCTGAAGATTCAATAAGTTTATCTTCAGTTTTTCCTACACTCATCTTCTCAACCTCAGTTCTAACTTTTCCCCACAATGCACCTTATGGTTTAGTCACACTGGATACCCTCTGCTCCATTTTCTCCACACCTTAGCTCATGCTGTTGCCTCTGCTTAGAAGAGTACACCCTCTTTTTCCACTTGGCAAACTCCCACTCATCCCTAAATCCCAGAACAACTGTCATCTCTGCCATGAAAACTTCCCTACTTCACCTCAAATAGAGCTCTCCCTCTGTACGTCTGTAATATTTTATTCGTACCACTGATAAACACTGAATCCCACTTTACAGTAACTGATATGTCTATCCAACTTGTTTATGAATTCTTAGAAGGAATAGATCTTTTTCTTTTTGAATTACTAGTACTTTATAACACACAGTGTGTGTTAAATAAAATTTTTTTTAATGAAACATATATCTATTCCTAAGTCGTTACCACTTTTCCTGACACTCCTGTTATCTACATGCTCTGTTTCCTCTTTCCTTTCCAGATTTCTTATTTAAAAGACTTCTAGGGAGCTCCAACTCCTAGAAATTCTGCTTACCTTGGAATAGCTTCAGCATTTCCTTCATCAACGGTATACGGCACACGGTATTCACCTTTAGAACTTCAAGGGTATAGTCCATATTCTGGTCCTCACTCCTAAAAAAAAGTACAGAAGGCTGTTCTTCTTAGGAGATAACTAGGGCAGCCAAGACCCCTAACTCTCATGTGAAGTTTCCAAGCCCAGAGTTCAGACCATTTCTCTCCCATTCCTCCTTGAAAAAATGAAGAGAATTCCTCCTCCACAGACCTCTCAAGGGGTGGCTGGATTGCTCAATGGAGCCCAGGCCTTGTTTCCCCACTGCTCAAGCTGTATCTTTACTATTCCACTCAGGCCCCCATAAGAAAGCAGGAGCTCATACCTGGTCAACAGATCTTTTGGATCCTGTGAAGAGAAGAAAGAAATAAATTATGTACCTTCCTCTTGAGATCTAGTACTCAACTTGTGGGCAGGTATTTTTCTCTCAGTTGCTTTTGTTAATGTGACATATGATCTCATGCTGCCAAAGCCAACGATTGACACAACGTCATCTTTTTTCTCATGTGACCCCTCTGTACTATTTGACAATGTCCATCAATCCCTTTCTTGAAACCCCATTCTTTCTCCTAAATTTAGCACTATGACATTAACTCTCTCATGGCTTTTCGCCTACTTTTCCATCTATTCTCTATCAATCACAGAAAATAACAAATGTTGGTGAAGATGTGCTGGGAATTTAAAATGGTTCAGCCACTTTGAATAACAGTTTAGCAGGTTTTTTGTTTTGTTTTGTTTTGTTTTTGGTGACATTGGTTAATGAAATCCATTAAGTTTCAGGTGTACAATTTAACAGTAAGGCATATATATATTGTATTGTGTATTCATCGCCCATAGTTAGATTTCTTTCTGTCACCACATATTTGACCCCTTTTACCCCATCAACCTCCTCCTACACCCTCTACCCTCTGGTTACCACTAGTCCATTGTCCATGTCCATGAGTCTGTTTGTTTGTCCTGTTCATTTGTTGCTTTTAGGTTTATACCCCATATATAAGTGATCTCATGTAATTTTCAACTTTTTCTGTCTGGCTTATTTCGTTTAGCATGATTATCTTGAGGTCCACCCATGCTGTTGCAAATGGCAGTATTTCATCTCTTATGTATATATGTACCACAGCTTCTTTAGCCAATCATCTATCATAGGACACTTTTGTTGCTTCCATGTCCTGGCCACCATGAGTAATGCTGCTATGAACATCGATGTGCAAATATCTTTTCAGATATGAGTTTACAAGTCTTTGGGGTAAATACCCAGTAGAGGGATTGCTGGATCATATGGTAGATCAATTCTTAGTTTTTTGAGGAACCTCCATACTGTTTTCCACAGTGGCTGTACCAATTTGCAATCCCACGAGCAGTGTATGAGGGTTCTTTTTTCTCCGCATCCTCTCCAACATTTGTTATTACTTGTCCTGTTGATTATAGCTATTCTAACAGGTGTAAGATGGTATCTCATTGTGGTTTTCATTTCTTAAAAAGTTAAATATAAATAGACCATACAGCCCAGCAATTCTGCTTCTACTATCTACCAAGAGAAATGAAAACATGTTGACACAAAGAATGGCAGGCAAATGTTCAGAGGAGCACCATTCATAATAGCCAAAAGGTAGAAACCACCCAAATGGCTATCAACTGGAGAAAAGATAAAGAAAATGTGGTGTATTCTACAATGTATACCATTCAAGAATTTAAAAAATGAATGCAAATACAAAACTAACATAACCTCAGAAACATTATACCAAATGAAAGAACCCTATACAGAAGCCCACAGACTTTATGATTCTGGTTACGTGATATATTCAAAAAAGCAAAATTTACAGAGGCAGAAAGTAGGTTGTTTGAGGCTGGGGTTAGGAACAGGATTAACTATAAACAAGCACAAAGAGATCTTATGGAAATGCTCTAAAACTGGATTGTGGTAAGGACTGCATAACTCAGTAAAAATATAAAAATCGCTCAATTGTACACTTAAAATGGATGAATTATATAATATTATTATACTTCAAAAAAGCTTTTTTTTTTTTTTAAAAGAATATATCCAAATGGTTAATTACCATTTGAAAAAGTACTCAATCTCATTAGTTATCAAAGAAATGCCATCTACCTTTCGGGAGGAAAGAAGAGGTGCTGATTGAAGGTATGAGGTAACATTATACATCATTTAGGATGGTTAAAATGAAATAACTGACAATTCTAAGTATTGATGAGGATATACAGTAACTGGATCTCCCATATATTGCTCACAATAGTGTAAATTGGTACAACCAGTGTGATCAGGAATTGCTTTCATTGGTACATAACTGACAGCGACGTATACATGTGTGCACTAAAAAGAAACATGCTTGTAACTGCTTTTTTTAACAGTAATAACTAGAAACAACCCAAATTTTGCTAACAGTAAAATGAATAATACGTTTTGGTATGTTGCTACAATGGAATACTGTTGGCTCTCCACTGGGTTCTCCTTCTATGGATTCAACCAATTGCAGGTAGAAAAGATGTTTTTTAATGTTACGTTGTTGCTAATTGTAGTTAGGCCTACCATAATTGCATCTATACTGAACATGTACAGACATTTTTTCCTGTCATTATTCCCTAAAAATACAAAATAACAACTATTTACGTTGCATTTTATGTATGTATTATATATATGTATATGTAATCTAGAAATAATTTAAAGTATACAGTATTGGATGTGGCTCCATAGTGTAGTGGTTAGCACATCTGCTTTACACTCAGAAGGCCCTGGGTTCAGGGCCCAGGTGGAGCCACAGACCATACCCCGGGTACGCCAGGTGCCCGGCCTCGGGTGCACGCAGCGAGCATGTGGGAGCAGACACCCCACCTTCAGAGATCCAGTTCTTAAGGGGAAATGGCAACATCCATAGGCCAGGGGTGGAAGTGGGGTGGCAGGGGTGATTAAAGAGGGGGGGGAAGTATACAGTAGGATATGTATAAGTTATATGCAAATCCTACGCATTTTAATAAGGGACCTGAACATCCATGGATTTTGGTATCCATGGGGAATCCTGGAACTAATCTCCCACAGACACCAAGGCACAGCCATACTATACAGCAGAGTTTTCAACCTTAGCACTACTAACATTTTGGGCTGAAAAAGTTTGCTGGGAGCAGGAGCAATGGCGTGTCCTGTGTATGATAGGATGTTTACCAGCATCCACAGCTTCTAAACACTAGATGCTAGTAGTAACCACCCCTGAGTTGTGATGATCAAAAATGTCTCCAAACAGTGCTCATTGGGGAACAAAATCACTGGTTGAGAATTACTGCTATGCAGTGATGAAAACAAACATCTGTTGCTACCTACAACATGAATTAATCTCACAAACATAATGTTGAGCAAAATAAGCCAGACATAAAGATTCTTATTCAAAAATAAGCAAAATAAAAGTGTGAGAAGTCTCAACAGGGACTATTTTGAGGAGGGAAGGGACATTGAAGAGGGTTTCTGGGATGCTATTTGTGTTCTATTTCTTTCTTTCTCTCTGTCTGTCTCTCTGTCTCTCTGTCTCTCTCTGTCTCCTCCCTCCCTCCCTCCCTTCCTTTATTATTATTATTTATGCCTACAGCACCTGATCTTCCTAGGTGGTCTCCCATCCAAGTACGAACCAGGCCCGACCCTGCTTAGCTATGGAGATCAGACATCGGGCTTGTTCAGGGTGGCATAGACCATGGACTATGGCTCCAGTGGGGCACGAACCCAGGACCTTCTGTGTGTAAAGCAGACGTGATAACTGCTACACTATGGAACCATGTCCAGTGTGTTCTATTTCTTGACTTTTGTGGTGGTTACATGAGTGGGTCACTTGGTAGCAATCTGTCAAGCTTATGATTTACATATTTTCTCCATGGATGTTATACTTAAAATGTTTTTAAACATGTTTATTTAGTTAAAGCAATACTTTAAGCTATATTTTCTTTATTTAGTTAAAGCAATACTTTAACTAAATAAACATGTTTTTAAATATGTTTATTTAGTTAAAGTACTGCTTTAACTAAATAAAGAAAATATAGCTTAAATATATTTATCAGCAAACAAAAAAAAAGAATATAAATAAGCTAAGCATACCAACTCAAGAGACTGAAGAAAGAGCTACAAAGCAAACCCAAAAACCCAAAAGGAAGAAAATAATAATGATAAGAGTAGATAGTAATCATTTCACTGTAGCTTGACAGATTAATACCAAGCAACAAAATATGGTGAATGGACACATGGATTAAATGTATATACAGTTACAAGAGTGGCTCTTAAAAACATAGTGCCCAAGGAAAAAAACAAGAAAGAGAATGCAACAAGAACTCTCACTGCATAACTTAAAAATACATAAACCCAAGCAATACTGTATATTTTGCAAATAAAAAAATTAAAGCACAATGAACGTTTTCATTTTCAATGTTTCTAAGAAGAATGGAAAGGAGTTATAGACTAAAAGTGAAGGAATAAATGAAAAACATGGATGGATAGATGAATGGATGTATAGATGAATGAATGAATGAATTAGTAAAATATGTCCTCTTAGGCTCTGAGATTCTATGATCCAGTTCTATCTTTAATCATTTGCCTAACCTCACACTTATGTTGGATGATATGTTTTTTTGTAAGCACTTTGCTGGCTCCTGTGTACCTTTGAGGTTTCAGACTCTGACTAGACATTAAACCTATATTTATAAAAGTGTTTAAATGTGTTATTTCAAGGATTCTGCTAGAGTATATGACTGGATATGTAATGGGAACTTCACTGTTCAAGCAAGTTGTAAAAGTTCTAGACAATTCTTGGAAATCATTACATCTAGATGCCACATAACTCCCAGCTAACAATTTCTTGTTGAAAATACTGGTCAGTGGGTGATGTTTCCATCTTCCTTAAGAGTAGAATAGAATGTTGTCTCCTGCTGATGAGAAAATAGTAATAGTAGATTGAAGGTATTCTTGAGAACACCCTTCAATGGTTCATTTTTAGTCACATGAGATGGAGAAAAGAGACATTCTGAGGGCGCTAAGACCAAAGGTAAATTATTTCAGTGAGAGGAAAAAAAGAGGCAGTCACAAAAGTTGGACTGCACCCAAAAACTGAAAGAAGCTATAAGGGCACTTTACCTACAGAGGATATAAAGGTAAAAATTAACTTATGATAATAAACTGGTCTAAAGTCCCAAATTTAAGGGCTAATGAGTTAGAATTATAATCTTTTAAAAGTTGCTAGGTATAAAAATTATTTACATGAACATACTAATCAAAATCTGGGGCTAAGAACAAAATTATATCAAGCCATGATTGTAATGATTAAAATTTAGTGAGAAAGATAAATTTCTCCTAAAAACTGTTGATACAATTATCTACTTTGTGATTTTGTTTTGTTTTACTGTTTTAACAAAAAATTATGAATGTATAAATAAGACAAATAGAAAAGTCTTAGATGTGCTTCACATCCTAGATAAACTATGAGACCAAGTGAATCATACCTACATTTTACATTAATTTCTTTTGAATAGTAAATCTTTGGCTCTTTAATTGTATGACAGTAGTAATGCAATTATCGACAGAGAAAATATTTCTTCTTTTAAACCCACTCACTAGGAAAGACATTCAGCTCTAAAGACAAGAGATAGTTCAGTTAGTGATGTTTAGTAACCCCTCCCCTGCCTGTCTCACCTGAAGCAACTCCAGGATGGAGCTCTGGTTCTTCTCCTTGACTTCTAAGATGAGCTCCTTCAAGGAAGTGATTATCTGATTGAGCCTTAATGTATTCTCATCCCATTTCTTCTTTGTCTCTTCTTCTTCTTCTCTCAGTCTCTCAAGAAACAGTTGCTCTTCTTCAGCCAGAAAGTGGTGCAGCTTTGCAAACTCTGCACTTAATCTCAATTGCTGAATCTTCATCTTGTTCTATAGCCACATGAGATTTTCTCAGTCCTTGTTCTGCCTGGTCCTTCCTCCTAAACTCCTTGCACATGACTCCCCAACAGTCCATGGTCCTTCCCTCCTAATCACCTCCTCTAGAAAAGCTCCTGCCCTCTATTTATACTTACTTGATATCTTTATACGGGTCTTTATAGCATTAATTCGTCTTTGTAACATCTGAGTCTCTACTACTGGTAGCAATGCCTTCTTTGTGTACTTTTTAAACTAAAATGCACTTTCATATTTATTATTTAGTTTACCCCTCAGAACACCTACTGTTTAGTTTTGTTAAATCTTTAGATATACATGAGTGTACACATATCATGCCTCCCAACTAGACTAGGATCTCTGAAAGCAAAGTCCATTTACTTTCACAATGCCATGGACCCAAACCAACTCCAACCTAGGGCATACACTTAAGAAAATGTGGGAAAGAGAGAGGCACTACCTTAAAGTAGAGGTAGATATGGAGATGAAGTGTATGGAACTCACATCACCCAAAGCCACAGGTCAGTAGGGACAGGTATGTACTTCCTGTTCTATCACCTTATCTGCAAGGGGTCTGACAACCGATGACATCATACAAATTCTTCTCAGTGAAACCCCATAAGGAGTCTCAGACTAAAAGAACCTCAAGGCTAAGAAATGCCCAACCACTTCTGCTGTTACCTTCCACTCTGTTGCATTCTTCTTTTCCATGTCCTGTAAATGCATGGCATTCTTCATCTTGGCTGTCAGACTGCACTGAGTCGCAAGAAGTTTATCCTGCCAGCAGAAACATATATCAGAGAAAAATCATCCCTCTAAGGATCCTCCTTGTTCAAGAGCTAAAAGTCACCTAATCCAAACAGAAAACAATATTGAGAAAATGATGAAGACAGTCATAGGTTGTCTTCAGAATAATATTCTGATCTGAAATTGTTCTAACACTATATACACTTTGCCTATTAAGGTGGCAAAAACTAAAAATTGTTAGAGGATTAATAAATGCCTAGTATCGGCAAGGGAAAAAGCCTCTGGCACCGTAATAGTAGAAAAATAAAAAGCTGCTATCTTTTCGAAGGGCACTGGCAAGACTTAACAAAATTTAAAATGTGTATGATCTTACTTCTAATAATCTATGCAACAAAGCACTAGCAAAAATAATATGTAGAGGAGTATTAACTGCTGCATTATTCATTATCAATGAGAAATTATTAAATAAATTATGGTATATTGATACTCTACATAAATTTCAAGTAGCTATATATTGGCATGTTATATTAAGATAAAACTAAGCTGTAAAACAATGGCATTGTATAATTGTTTTGAAAAGAATGTGTGTTTGTGTGTTTGTGTGTGTGTGTGTGTGTGTGTGTGTGTGCACGCGTGCGCGTGCATGTATGGGTGAACAGAAAGAATACGTGGAATGATATATACCTAAGTATTATTAACACTGGTTATTTCTGGGGAATAAGAATGGCTTAAAAGTTAGGAGAGGGAAAACTAGAAATTTAATACATTTCTGTTTCGTTTTAAGTCTACAAGAGGCATATACCATTTTCTGTAATTTAAAAACCTGAATAAGCTATTAAAAATAAAATGAGTCAATCAGCATTAACAAAGTGGGCTGTAGAGGGGCAGCACCTAATAGCACAATGTGAGACATGACCTTAGCAACAGAAGGCAGGTTAGAGACACACACAAGAGGAAAGCCAGTAGGAACTGATGACCAAATGCCTGCAGGAAGGAGTCCAGATTTAGCCCCTGGGTTCTGGCTTAAGTAAACAGACTATAGGTTATTTACCAAATTAGAAAATATAGGAAGATGAACAATATGTAAATAAAAGGAAGGAAAATAAATTTGACTTGAATAAATTGAGTTTGAGATATCTGTGGGGCATCCAAGTGGATAGAGTTAGCAGTTAAGAGTCAAGAAAGATATCTGAGTTGCAGAAGCAGATTTAGGGGTTAAAGCACAGGTAGCAGCTGAAGCCATGAGTGTGAGTAAAATCACCCAGTAAGATTCTACAGAGTAAAAGGAGGATCAAGGCTAGAAATGGGAACAACTACAAGGGGTACGCAGAGGATGAAAGTCCTACAAAGAAGCTGAATGGCTGGTGAAAAACTATGGGAAAATGGTTTCTCATACACCAAAGAAAGAGAAGATTTAAATTAAAAACTGGTTAAAACTATCAAATGCTGAAGAATGGCCTAGGGTGACTTTCTGTGAGTCCAGATGTACATCAAAATAAAAAGTTTAAAAGACAAAAAAAAGAAATGAATAGAACTAGGAAATAAGCAGCACAATTAATTTTTTAACTCTTCCCTAGAATAATAAAACTAATAGGTATTACTTTTCTTTCAATCATTTATAAATGACAGTGCTTAAAGTCAGATAATTTAAAAGACTGACAATACCAAAGTTGGCAAGATATGGAGCAACCAGAACTCTCATACAATGTTGGTAGGTCTGTGAAATGATACAACCACTTTAGAAAAAGGTCTGAGTAAAACTAAACATACATTAATCCAACAGAAACACAAGGACAAGGAAGCAATGGAAACACTGAGCTACCAGAAAGAAAAAGATAAAATGGCTGTAAGAAGACCTCATATTTCAATAATCACCCTAAATGTAAATGGACTGAACTCACCAATAAAAAGGCACAGAGTTGCAGAATGGATCAAAAAACAAAACCCAACCATATGCTGCCTCCAGGAGACACATCTCAGCTCCAAAGACAAATATAGACTCAAAGTGAAAAGGTGGAAAATGACATTTCGAGCAAATGGCATTCAGAGAAAAGCGGGAGTAGCGGTACTAATATCAGATGAAATAGTCTTCAAAATAAAAAAAAAAAGTAAAGAAAGATACTGAGAGACACTTCATAATGATAAAGGGAATCATGCACCAAGAAGACATAACACTTATTAATATCTATGCTCCCAATCAGGGACCCCTGAAATATATAAAGTAATTACTAACAGAACTAAAGGGAAAAACAGACCAAAACATTATCATAGTAGGGGCCCTAAATAC